GAGAGAGAGAGAGGACCCTCGATGGCGGAGGGAGAGAGCGAGAGAGAGGAAGAGAGCGTGGAAAAAAGCACGAGTGTACTGGTACCCCTTTTCAGGGCACAGGACGTCTCCGAACGGCGGGACGCTCGTTCTCATCCGTAACCCGAGACGTGTAATTAGGAGCACCGGACCAAGATGAATAGCCAAGTGGCCGGTGGGGCAACAGGCAAAGAAAGGAAAAGTGGGGCCAAGCGGGGATTCACTCGTGGATACGGCCCATCCATCGACAGCCAACCGACGACGAGCCACCGTGTGCATCGCGCCGCGTTCCACCTCTGCTTCTCTTCTCTCGTCTCACCTTGCCACGCAGCTAACCCGATTCGAGACACCGATCAAAGTTCCGCGCGATCCTGTTTATACGCCGCCTTAGATCCTTATTTAAGAACACGAACACATCATGGTTTTATCATTCGGTTAAGAACGCGGTCAGAAAAAGCATCCATCCAGTTGAAATAATTTCCACCGGTCGATCCAACATCCGATGGTCTGCATCCGAGGATTCTATTCGGATATGCGGCGATATTTTTTGAATCAAACGGATCCTTTCGCTGCTCGATTCTTTTCTGAATTGTAATTCGATTCGAACAAAAGAAACCGAGTTTCCAAGTTGGCCAAGATCAACTCGAAGCTATCTTTAAATGCATAGTTATATATAGCTATACGATTCCGAATGAAAGGTGTAAGAAGTAATAGAAAGTGCATGGATCGACGGGATTTCTCGTGAATTGGCTCGTAAACAGATATACGAGCGCGATAAACCAGTTTGGCCATTTTTTCAAACGATGCGTACAGACGAAGAAACCTTCTTTTTCCTTCCTCACCGGCTTCGACGTGGTGCCCCATTCCAGCCATCGCTACTAATTACACGTGCAGTCGCACATATACGACGTTACCGTCGATATTAGGTAGGTGGATACGTAATATGGCCCCCCTTTTCCGCCGAGTCTGCGTATATACGCTTTCTAGGTGTGCATGGCTATCGAACCGGTTCTCCTCTCCTCGAGAGGGGGAGAGAGAAAGACAGAGAGAGAGAGAGAGAGGCGGTAGCAGTGGGTTACCGGCCGGCATCATGGACGATGGAGAAATACCGTAGCCAGCATCCACCCGACTACCACCACGTTGCCAACGACACCACTAATACCACCACTTCCACACCACTACCACCATCAACATCAGAGAGAGAGACATTGGCATCGTTATCAACAACGCATCGTCGCTTCAGCCTGTGAGCCCGAATTTCGGTGCACGTGAGAGAGATCGGCAGGTCTGATTCTTACTGTCGACTGCAAATTGGAGTTACAACCCGCTTTTTCCAATGGTCCGACGAGAATTCGCCGACAGTGTTAAAGGGCCATCGATACGGCTTTACGTTCCGTTCTCGATTTTCAGCCAATACTCTTCCAATACGCTTCCGCCGCCCAAGCCTGTGCTCCGCTCTTTGATCTTTCGACTCAGAAATTTGTTGCGGGCTTGAAACGGGAACGTTTGCAAATGATGCCCTTAGTTAACGATTTTTACTTTCCTCGATGATGGAAAAACAAGTTACGACCGTCGCTCGTATTATGAAAACACGTCGTGTTTATACGAAACGTATATGTTGTTATTGCTCGTATTATGAAAACACGGTTGAGAATTGGAATAAGAATCGAGGATAGGACGATAAAAATATTTCGACGGATAATTACGTTCGCATCGAGATAAAATAAAAAATCGGAGCAGGAGGGAAATTAATAATAAATAATAAAACCAATTCGATGCATTTGTTTCGCGGCCAATCAGTACCAATCAACCAAGTATTTAATTATTGCCCAGCCGGTAAAAGAAGAAAGGAACGAAGTACGGTGATCCGTTACAAGATTGGGGATAAAGCATTTCGAACGATAGACGAAATCGTTTCCATCTATAATAGTCAAATCTCACTTTCATCTCTGATCCATCTTCCTTTTGTGATTCACCAACACGTAACAGGGGATTGGAAAAGAATCCTTCGAATCGTCGTCGTTATGTACGTTATATGTTATATACGGTACTCACGAAGGCAAAGTAGAAGCGTAGCTACGTCGAGACGCCGCATCCTTTCGTTGGCTTCGAATTGGAGAAACGTTCGGTTCGAAACTCACTCGGGAAGGAACTGAGCAGGAAGACCGTTCCGTATTTCAGAATCTTCACGTCGCTGTCATTCTATTTTTCTTCCGTATAAAGCTTGCTTGCGAGCGAACACACTACACGAAACGAAACGAGCGAACCGAACACCACGAAACGACGCGCGATACTGAGGGCCACTAACCCACGCCGTGTCCTAGCGACCCCTACTCACGGGGTTCACGGCCGATGCCCTGAATTACACTCTTACCACCAGATGGCAGCTTAAACCGACGCGCAATACGAGTTATCGACACGTATGGAAGAGATTCTCGTCCACGATTACGCGCGCGTTATTTTGAATTAAAAAAATTTCGATCAAACAAATCGTATCGTGTATCGGGATCGATTTCGTATCGTGTGAATCGGATTTTTTTTTTCTTAGGAAATTCTTAGGATATTGTTCAAATCATTGAAGAAATCACGATGATTACAATTCAAATTCGATATATTATCTCATACATTTTATTACACGTACGTCGTTGTGTCTCCCTCATTAATCGTAATGTTGTTGTCAATATTATTTATAATAACAATCTAAACGATCATATTTACTTACATCCCTACATTTGCTATATACTTTTTTTTTTATCTACTTTACATATTGTTTTTTCTTTTTTTTTCTTTTTTTTTTTTCTTTAATCCGTACATCAACTTTCGCATTTGTGGGGGGGGGGGAGATTGTCGAAGATAAGTTTCATTTCTTCGTACTGGCTTTGATCGGTAAAAGGATCGTAAAATTGAAAATATAAATTTCAACTCTAGCAACACTCTATCGTGAGCATAATTCGGGAATATTTTATTTACACAGTATAATAATTCCAAGATGAAATGAATCAAAACCCCACAATGATTTAGATACGGATGTCGAAGAATGAAAATAATAATAATCTTCGGATAACGACGATTTCCCTATCAGATTTCAAAGTCATCATTATATTTCAGAAAAAATGGTACATATGTACACAGACAGATCAGCATGTCTTTCTATGTATATATATATATATATATATTATTATTATGTATATATATATATAACTTATGTACATAGTATATGACGTAGTATTCGAACACGAACATATACATACATAACCTCTGCTGAGAAATCTTTTAACGAAGGATCTACCTTATTTTATCGTTATTTCCTGCAAAATTCTATCTAACTACATTAATTCCTCTGAAGGACACAAGGCTATTTATATTATATACATCAGAGGCCTTGATCGACATCGGTCCTTTCGCAAAACGATTACCTTTGGCACAGTGCACAATTAGAAAATTCGTGACTCGCACAGTAGGATACGTTCACCAGATGCATTCTCATTATACGTATAAATAAAACGGTATCACATGTATATAACACTAACCGTAAGCCGGGAAGAAAAGATGAAATAATGTAAATCGTAATTCCATTCCCTCTTCTTAAATACGATTTTAATCTTTCGTTCAAAATATTTTCATGGATATTTACTTTACGAGATGACTAGGCTCGTATATAATAACAAACGATACAAATCATCCAAAGGAAAGGAATATCTCGTATCTCGATTCAAAATTATCATGAAATTGCACGTAATTTTAATATAAAGGGGAACGGGAAGGCGTAACGTAAATCGTAACAGACGTAAAAATTAGAAGATGAATCTGATTAAAGGAGAAAATTATTAGGTTAAGAAACAGCTAATTTTAAACGAATAACTCGTTTCTCCGCGATAACTTGTTCCATCCATTTCAATCAAATCTCTTACTTTTGATTTCATAAATTTTAACTACGCGAATCGTTTCGAGAAGAGAATGGGTATGGCACTCTCGTTTCATCGAGTCATACGAATAAAATTATCGAGACCCAGCGATACAACGATATGTCTAAAATTAAGAGGACTGTCTTTGGCCGTATTTCGCATTGTAATAATCTGCCATCGACTTTTCAAAGTCCGCTTAACTATCGTCGATGATATGTAGCCTTGATATCTCCATCAATTGGCGACTTTGATATTCACTTGCGATCGCCCCACCCGGCGCTGTTATAAAACCAGGATGAAGCGCTCTCGTCCCTCGTTTTACTCCATGTATTATCCAAACTACTGCCTCCTCCATCCTAAGAATAATTCAACGAGGTTACACCCGACACATATTACGACAGATATAAATAACACAAATTTCTAAATCTTGGAATGGAAATTCAGGCTTACCACAACGTTTAATTGATGCGTGGCAGGGGAGAGATAGTCCATGTTGGTATAATAAGAAGAATAATTTTGGTAGCATTGCTGTTGGGAAGTGGTTGTTGTCCATGCTAACCTCTGATGGTCACTAGGAAATCCACCACCGCTCTCCGTGACAGCCGGACTCCAAATACTACTGCTACTGCCACCACTACTATACACCGTTCCTCCTAACTAAAAAATACCATTGTTCGAAAACTCCTTATCCACCGAGGGTAAAAAAGAGCCTCGGCGTTAGACTGTACTCTTGGTCGATAACTTACACTCGGTGGGGTTGTACTGGCAGCCAAGAGCAAACTGGTTGCACTTCCTGCTGGTTTGTATTGCGGAGAATCCCTCAGGAGAGCCGGAGAACTAGCAGCAGAACCACCCGTACCTCCGCTTCTAAATACAAATTAGAATTATAAAAAATATTTATAAAAGCTAATATACTCATTCAGAGGATTGGATAAGAAAATTTCCAATGTTTAGTTATTTAAAATACAAAAAAAGAATTGAAAGATATTAGATGAATTTGTTCGATTTTTCGATCGCCTAAATTTCCTTTTTAAATTTATTTGTTTATTTAGATTGAGAAGCGAAAATGAATACAGCCGATATATATTTCGAGCTTTAACGAGAAAAGTAAGATAAAGGTATTATTAATGTAAACGATATTTACAGAGGTGTCGTAGCCGGTACAGCCGCTGCAGGCGTGGGTGTGGTAGCTATTGAAGGACTTTTTCCAGAGGGCGGATTATTGCTAGGATTTCCCGAAGGCTTCTTAGATCTTGGAGCTTTGTCCTGTTGTTGCTGTTGTTGCTTTTGCTGTTGTCTGCATTTGGCTCTGCGATTTTTAAACCATACCTACAAGCACGTGTAATTTATGCGTTTCATGCGATCAATATAAAACATTTCAGAAATTTTTTTATTCTGAATTCTTCCTCTCTCTCTCTCTTCTCTCTTTCTCTCTTTCTATATAACACACGATCGAAAGCAGCTTTCAATATATATTATTTTTTTGCGTCGAAACGCAGTAAAATACAGGGATACGGTTCATAGGAAACGAGCACGAAATGATGTACAAAGCTTTTATAAAGCTGGCGTAATAGCCAATTATAAGGGAATGTAGCACCGACGTAACTATCAATTACCAATGAAGACGGCTTCGATAACACGAGCGGAAATCTGGCGTGCCCTCCGGCATAATGAAACGAAAAGTAAAGGGGTTGACGTGCGAACGAATTTCCGTTAATGCCATAATTTCGCCAACATTCGATTATTCGTTCAAACATATATATATATATATGTACCAACTTCTTCTTCTTCTTTTCGTTCACCGTGCCAAATATTAAAAAAATTAATAGTTCAATCCATCGATGAGTTGATTATCGAAATATCGTTTCGAAGAAAAACCGATATTAAAGATTATTCGTGTAAGGAATGATTCGACACTTCGATTACAGATGACTATCTATCAGCTCTATTTTCGTGTCCAAGCATGCGACAGACTCGTCCTTCGATCCGTCGTCGTTCGCCCTCCTAGATTTCCAGAACGCGAGAACGACCTTTAAAGAAGGAGGCGGGTGAACGAAACGGCTGGAAGAACGAAGAGGGAGAATAAAGAGGTGAGAGAGAACGAGAGATAAAGAGAAGGTTGGGGGAGGGGAAGGTGAGGACAAGGAGGAGAGGGAGAGAAGGAAGAAAGAGAGAGAGAGAGAGAGGAGCCTAGAGAAGCCCTGCGCGATCAATGTTAGAAGCGGAGAGGTGAGCTTGGGTTTCTACGGATTTTCTGGGGAACGACACGAGCAACCCGCGTTCTTCCACTGAAACTGCTCCCCGAGGTGTATGTTTCTCAACAAACTCTATACGAATTCTCCTACTTTTAACCCATCCTCATATTTATCGTTATACACTTTTGCTTTTTCTCGTCTCTTCCTACAAATCGTCGCGATATTACATCGCTCGTTCCGATCAAATATATGAAAGAATAAGAACGAACGAACGAACGAACGAACGAACGGAAAATTAGAAAAGTAAGTAGATTCGACTCGTGGACGAATTCGAGCAAAGTTGAGCAAAAGTTGATTCAAGTTCGATCCGGTTCCGTTCGATTGAAAAACCCCGCGCAGGGGTCAGAGAAAAAACGGAGGAGGCGGAGAGGTGAGGAGAGAAGCTCCGGTTTTTGCAGTCGGAACGACGAACGTGCGGAAGACTATGGGGCCCGGTTGGACCCATTCAATTCATTTACGGGGCTGGGGCCAGGTGCGTTGGCCCGCAATTGCGGATGCGGCGCGCCCTTTTCCTCCCGTGATGAGGGTGGAATATGCATGGACACGTTTTCGGTGCCCGTTGGCTTCGAAAGTCGATTCGGACGACACGAATTCGTCCGTGACACCACCGTGGTGAGTTAACAATTCCGTGAATCGTTGCGTTCGCCATTCAACCATTTTTGTCACGGAAATTTCCTTTTTCTCGATCGTTCAAAGCAAAGACCGAAACATCCCGGAACGTAGCCCCGTTCGAAGCGGTGGAATTCGTTCTTTTTTCTTTTTTTTTTTTTTTCTAACAACGCGGAGCGACACGAGCACGCTTACAGGGCGAACTACTAACTTGGTTAACACCCGCTATCCACGGAAACACGACGAGCCGCCCGATAAATCGATGCCGCCTACGTCTGCTATAGGTCTAGTATAGACTATGGTCGCATGCCGACAGTCATACAACCCCTCTCGGTAACGAAACACCATACCGTATCCCGACCGACACGGTATTTCGTTCACCGTGGCCAAGAGAACCGAGCAAAGAGGACCATGCCCGCCTTCCTTCGCTCTCGCATGCCTCCACGTACCTGCACTCTCGACTCCGGTAAATTGATCTTCATCGCCACTTCCTCCCGCATAAAGATATCGGGGTATTTCGTCTTCGAGAACAGACCCTCGAGAACGTCCAATTGCGCCCGGGTGAACGTCGTTCGTTCCCTTCGCTGCTTCCTTGGATTACCTTCAACAGAAAATATCCCGAATTCTTTCGTTTTCCACGCGAATCCCCTCCCTCCCTCCTTCCTTCCTTCCTTCCTTCCTTCCTTCCTTTCTTAACCTTGAGAAAGTTTCTAGTAAATAATACAAAAAAAAAAAAAAAGAAAAAGAAAAGAAAGAAAAGAAACAGAGACGAGAATCTAGAGAGAAATATGAATATGAAATGAGGGGTACACTCACAGTAGTAGGACTCACCGGCGGGAGTACACCCTGGATATCCGATGGTCGAGTGAAGGGCCTCGATGGGCGGCATGCCGAGGGCGCTGACGTAGGGGTTGGTCTTGAGGGCGCCGTAGGGCCCGGCCGCGGACGCCCCGAACGCGGCGGGCCCGAAGAGATCGGAGGCCGAGGTGGTGGAGGCGGCGAGGCCCCCGAGATCGGTGGCGCCGGCGCCCCCGCTGCAGCCGGAAGTACCGCCGAGGCTGTTCGGCCACATCAGTACTCCCTCTGCCCCCACCACCTCGACCGCCCCCCCGCCTCGCGGCCGATTCTACGTAAACCGCCTCCGCCTCTACGAATTATCCGCTGCTTCTGAAAATTCAAATTCACGCGTATTTATTCGCAACAGGCTAATTCAGCAACCCCTTCCTCCATCCTTCCCTCTCCCTCGTCTCCCCTTCCTTCCTCCGCCCGACGGGGGGTTAACGATGTCGTACGCCCGACATTCGACGGACGCGCATGAATTTTCACGGTGATTCAATTAATATCGATCGTTTCGATATTCGATAGAGCCTCGCCTCGCCTCGCGTTTATTACGCGAAAAAACGTTTTCAATTACAACTCGGTTGAGGTTATATCGAGACGGCTCGACTATCGGAGGGGAGTACATAACTATCGTGGATGTTGGAATGGAAAGTTCCCGACTCGTGATGCTTCGTACATATATATATACACACACGATAATATCGAAACCGATCGCGGAAGATGGAAATAAGACGCGCGACGCGGTTGGCAGCTGGCCGCGGCCAAGGATAATCTCCGGAGGAAGATGCAACACGACTCCACTTTTCGAAGGTGCGTCTCTCTCAATCCCCCGTTGACCCCGCTCTGCTGGACCCCGATGGTTTCCCTCTCCGAAAACCGAGAACGACTTCTCTCTCGAAAGAAGAAGAGGAAGAGGAAAAAAAGAAAAGAAAAGAAAAAAGGGGGCGACTTCGGGAGGGAGGCGACTCTACGTCGTCGTAGCCTTCCCGTTTCACGTTTTAGCCGACGCTACTTAAGCCGTCGTTTTATCCTCTCCGATTACAAAGTCAAGAACGGTCGGTCTATCGGCCGCGTTCCTCCTCCTCCTCCTCCTCCTCCTCTTTTCCTTCTTCTCGCGAGGCTCTCGATCTCGCACCACCTTCGCCACCACGAGAGCGGCTTATTAATTTTTATTCGCCCTCCCATTTATCGCGTCTCGCATCTGGGCGTCCACAGCCCGACTGGAATATTGTCCGTATTGCCTGCAAGAGGAGGGGAGGATGCCGTCTCGCATGTGTTCCGGATTAAGGTAAGCTAATCATCATCCGGTGATTAACATGCGCGACGTGAAAAACAATCGAGCAATGACGACATCGACGCAAGAAGGCGATGATCCGACCGGTCGAAACACGGCGGAAATAATTGGGAATAATTGAAACGCGCGACGAACGACGAGTGAGAAGAGATAACTCTTTCGCTTTTTCGATTTCGAAGCAATTCCTCCAACGATGCATAACACGCGTACTCGAAGCTACGAAATGAAATTTCGCATCGATAAACCCGCTTTTTAATAAAGCATTGTTTCCGTTCCGATGGAATGGAAAGCACAAGTTTCGCGGTGAAAGGAACAACGGGGTGTGCGAAGGGTGCTCGTGCGATCGTTCGAGCGAAAGTTCCTTCTCGCAAATACGGATGAAACACCGGCGTTACCCTTCCGCGTTATCCACTCGACGACTCTCGCGAGTGTATCGACGACCCGCTGCGTTCGTCATCGAAAGTCCAACAACAAGTTTTCGATCGAGAAAAAAAGAGAAAATATCCATTCTCGAAGATGTGGAAGAAGAAAGTCGAGGATTTTTCGAAAGGTTCGAACGATCATCGTTCGAAGCGTTGCGGATTACTCGTTGTTTCACCGAGTATCGTATCAGTGAAACAGCGAAATGCAAAATTGCGCCCGTGCGAGCGTGGATAAGTTGGAAACAATATATAACCGCGGTAACTTTTCCGGTTTAATTACGGCTCTTTGCCGGGGATCCCTCCTTCGAAATGAAGTTTCAGCCCGATGAAAGAGAATCCATAAAGCGCGAGCTTCCCCGTGACGCCTCTCTCCAGCCACGCTATATTAAAATTTGGCTCACTATGAAAAGAAGGCCAGCGAAGAAAAGGGGCGGCTGCCTGCTTTCGAGGGTCCTCGTGAAGTAAGTCAGGCGCGAATCTCTACTACTTTTGTGCACTCCTCTGCGCTTTACACTAGCCACAAAGCACTCGTTACAACCCGGCCGTACAACGTATGGGCTGAGAAACGTGCAAACAATCATCTGTTGGCAGTATTTCCCGTCTCGTTTCTTTCACCGTTCACTTCCTTCCCTCCAAACTGCCTCCATCTTTCTTCCGTTCCGAAAGCTTGCTCCTCCTCCTCCTCCTCCTCCTCCAGCACCTTCTTCTTCCTCACCTCCACTATCGCCGCAAACAACATTTAAAATTTTTCTTCCGCTCCCTCGCACGCTCTTTCGCCCCGATTCACGTAGCCGTCGCCCTTTTTCGACAGAACAGAAACACAGGACAGAGGGAGGAGTATCAACTCTCGCGACTCTTATACACTTTATACACTTATGTCGCGTTATTGAAAGCAAAGTCGCGAAATCGGGGAAATTTGGAAGAGCCGCTCTCTCCGGAATCCTCTCTCCTCTGCCACAAGTCTCTTTATCTTTGTGCAGTCTCTCCGGGCGCACGGGACAATGCACTTGTTACAGGCGGCCAAGTGTGGACAAAATGCCCAAGTCGCTACTCGATTGGCCCTCGAGCGGGGTACTCGAGCAGTCTACGACCCCGCAGCTCTAGCGGAAAGGCTAGCATCGGTCCGGAGAAAGACGAGGAGCTAGCTCGCCTTTTCCACCCTCTCTCTCCCCCGATCAATCGATCCCCAATCCTCCTCCCCCTCCCCCTTCGTCAGTTCGGCCCTAGTGCAAACACTTTGTGTTACCAATCGACGCATATATATATATATATGTGTGTGTGTGTGTGTGTGTGTGTACATGTATGTATGTATGTATATATATATATATATATATACCGGCACGTTGCCCCTAATGACTGTTAAATCCCCATTATTGCGTATCGCGTGTACGCGCGTCTCGAGGGGTTGCGCTTAAGAATCCGATATGCGAATATTATCGAGATCGTACGACTCCATCTGGCCACGCGCCCCTTTTCCTCTTCCTCTTCCAAGCGAATTCCATCCGCGTTGCGGAGGACACGTTGCGCTCAACGTTCTTTTAACCGTTCGATTAACCGCAATCGGATTGGACCGAAGGTTAACCGCGAGCGCGAAAAATACCGAACGCGTGCTTGTTTTTCATCGACGATGAGAAAATATATATATCTCGAATAATCGAATAACGTCGATATATTCGTCGTCCAGGGGAATATCTCGCGAGAAACGAAGAAATATCGTATATGATCGTGACTCGATCACCTATCTAAGTCTGGGAGGGTGCATGCACTATATATATATATATATATATACACAAGAATGTATATATATTCGAATAGAAGGAGTCGAAGCTGTAGCTCGAGCTATCGCGAAAAGTTAAGTTCCGTCCGCATTGTTTCCACGAGTGTTTGCACACAACCGCATTGTTCCCGAAGAGGCACTCGCTACGTCGTACGGGCGTCCACAATGGGCCACGGTGGTGGTGCACCGTGTCGTGCCAGTCTGTGCGTGAAGGGGAGGAGGCGGCGGGGGCCAGAAAAAGCCAGCAAAAGCACTTACCCCCGGGTATTAACCGATTTTACCAAATATGCGTTCCAACCACTCGTTACCTCCGACCGCGATCGTTATTGCAAAATCTCTCTCTCCCCCTTCTTGGTCTTTTTTTTTTTCCACCCCTCGGCTGGGGTATCCTCCTCCTCCTCCTCCTCCTCTTCCCCTCTCGTTGCAATCGCGTCATGGAAGGTGTCGGAAGCGAAAGGCGGAGCGTCGCGAAAGCGTTTCCAGAAATCGTTTCCCTTCTCGAAACGAGGAGAAAAGATCGCGTCGATCGAACGAGAGAGGAGGGAACAAAAAACCTGTCCGCGAGCTGTCTGCCTCGGTTGAATACCTTCTTCTGGAAGGCAAGAAGAAGAGGTGGTGTCCGTAGTAGTCGAAACGTTTCTTCGCCTCGTACAGTCGTATTGAATGCAATTTAGCCCGAAGGACGCTGTTGTTGCGCGTTCATTGAGCGTAAAACTTAATTCCCGTGGAAATGCCATGAGCTAGATATATATATATATATATATATATATATATATATAATAGTGTGTGTGTGTACTAA